TTCTTCCTCAGGAAAGTGCCCTAAAGACACTATCAAGCTAGGTGTTTGCGCCATTGTCCTAAAGGATCTTCTCAAAATCCAGTTGGGCACGCCGCTAGTCAAGCCTTGCTGCTCGCTCATCAACGGTTTGGTTGATCTTGAAGCTGCTGCTTGTCTCTGTACCGCCATCAAGGCTAATGTTTTAGGCATTAACCTTAACGTTCCCGTCTCTCTAACTCTTCTTCTCAATGTTTGTAACAAAAAAGTTCCTTCTGGATTCAAATGCGCTTAATCAATTTATTTATGTTTCCATTTGTTTTATTGTTTTAATCTCCTTCTTTCTTTTATATGTTTTTCTTTGTTAAATTCTCTCATTATCATTTTTAATCTAATAAATTTTATTTTACGTCTATTGTTGTATTAATGTATAAGAATCCACTTGTTTATTTAAACTTTCAAAAAACTAAACCGCCTCTTAGTAATTTCTGCTTTAATAATAATATATATTCACCAAATGTAATATATTAAAAATGTAGTAGGAGTGTAACGATCACAGTTAAAAAGACTATTACCTAGTCAACCCATTAGAAACTCAAAATACATCATTAAGCCAAAGATGAGTGGGGAATATGAGTCTATAAAGAGGTACAATATATAGATCAAGGCCATAACATTATATTAATATTCATCCTTTTATGTATTAATTAATTTCTTTAGGCTAATATCTGTATAGACTTATTAGGTTAAGCAGACCAAAATAATACGACTGTTTATAATGTTTCTCCAGACTAATTAATGTATTCATGTGGTTCCTTGTGTATTGATTATGCTACAAAAGAAATCCCTATCCAGATAAATCGACAACGAATTACTTAGATAAATTCAGTGTCACTACTTACTAGCGAGATAAATTGACAACGAATTATTTATGTTTTGATATTTTTTGTTGAGTTTGGTTTAATATTTTGATTTAACACAAGAAATTGGTCGACAGAAAACAAAATAAATCCTTTTTTTTTTTATTGTAGCTCGGAAAATTGGAACAAAACCATAGTACCAACAATGTTGGTCCAACATATCATCTAGACACATTAATCTAAAGTTTTCTTTGTTAACTCTTGGAAAAAGAAAATTGTTAAATTCTTAGAGATTGAAATTAGGGAATATGCACTAAATTATTCGAGTTTGTGAAATGATTCTGATGTAACATGTATTTGTAAAATACACAAGTCACATGGCAAGCTGCATGTTTTAAAAATTATATTCAGTTTTAATACCACGCTATATTTCAAGTTTAACACAAGTTAATTTAATTATGACATGCTGTTTTTAACATAACACGTCATTTTTACAAAATACATAATATGTATTATAAGATTTTAACCATTTGCTCCGTACATCTTTTTAGAATGGATTCTAAGATTGAATTTTAAATAAGAATTTGTTTTCCCAAATAAACTCCCATGCATGATGCATCCAGAAACGCTAATTTTTTTTTTTTCTCAACGCTAAAACTTTCTTTAAAAAACATATTAAATTGGTTGGGATCTACTACTTGCATGTCATAGATAAATAATATTATAAAGTTATGATCTTGTTTCTTTTTTTTTTTMCTATACAAGTATATCCTCTTGTTTCTTGTCGCACCTAAAAAATATCCAAAATTGACGGGAAAAATGATCCAAAATTTTAATTTTTGTTTTTGCTGATTTTCATATAAAGTAATAACGATGCATAAAAAGAGGCCAGAAAGCTCCACCAAATTCCTTACTGGATGAAAATGTCCCTCTAAGAATGTTATATGGCAAATATGTAGTTTCAGAGAAAGTAATTTAAACGTACAATAATCCGAAGTTTGGTTCAAATCATTGCAAATGATACTATAAGAAAAACACATTTGTATAACATTATTGAATAAAAAAAAAATTCCCATGCATAAGAATTTTAAATAAGAAATTTTAAATAAGAATTTGTTTTCCCAAATAGACTCCCATGCATGATGCATCCAGCAACGCTAAATTTTCTTTAAAAAAAAAAAACATTATTGAATATATTTTTCAGGACCGAAAACATTTATCTTTCCGTAGGTAGAATGAATAGATGCACACGTCATGTATGTCAAAACTCAAGACCAGTGATCGAATTCTATTATATACGGGAAATCACAGTGATTCCTTAGACGCATTAATTTTGGTAGATGTATATTTTCATATTTAATTACTAGATGACTCCCCCGCGTATAATACAGATTAAGTTTATTCATTTCTTCCAATATAAAATAAACTAAAAAAATGTTAACTATAGTTAAAAAATTTTAGTTGTGTTCAATCTTTTAGTATTGAACAAAATCTCACAAATCACTTCTCATATCATTTATATTTGTGAATAATAGTATATAAAGTAAAACATAACTTGGTATAGATCAATGTATGGTTTAGTTTCGGTTTGTATTTGAATTTTTAAAAAAATATCATTTATTTCTCAACTAAAGCTTTTAGGTCAATTTTTTTTGGTTAGATTCAATATTAAATTTGGATCTTTTGATTAAATATTACGTAATAAAAATATTATGTAATAATAAAATTAAATG